ACTATTTTTATTACTATTATTCTTATTATTGTTACGGTCACTGTTTTTTTTCTTCTTTTCTTTTCTTAATTCAATGAAAAGGAAAACAAAACAAAATATTGGGTTGTTGGTAGACAATAGATTTATTTCATTTCTGCATCATGGTATTGACCCGTGCCACATTCTCTTTCCTTTCTCTTCTCCCTTTCTCTTCTCCCTTTCGTGTTCCCCCCTTCCTTCTCCCCTGGCTGTGCGGTGCCGAGCCACATCGCGCTAAGATACTCGGTGAACTCATCCATAAAACAAAAAAAAATAATTTCTCACAGAATTTTCTGATTGGTGAAACGAAGGGCCAATGTTCAAGGTCGGACCAGATGGGTCCGCGATAACGTACCACATTCCAATTAGCCCCTTCGTGCCACTGCAGCACAACAAGATTGACGTGTCGACGGTAAACCGTCTGGCGAATTTTGGTCTGCGTTTCGCGATGGAGCACGGCTGGTGCCACCACCGCGTGGAGGGGCCCGCGGCGTCTCACGTCAGTGAGGCTGTTGACGAGGGGTACGTTGACCACGGCGAGGACGTTACCGTTTTCTACGCCGGCGTTGACGCAGAACTCATTGATGATTTTCCGCAGTTCGACGGCGAGATCACACCCGCCTCCATGTTTTTCTGGGGCCAGTTCTGGGTGTCCTTCGTTGGCACCAGCAGCTACGGCATCTACGGCGAGCTCTACCATTACGAGACGGATGATGAGGGAAAGAAGGTCCCGTTTGGCGTGTTCAAACTGACGGGTGTCACGGTGTCAAAAACACTGCGGAAACCCGTGCCCATTCCGAAGGAACGGGCCAACGTTTTAAACGAGACGATGCAGCGACATCAAAAGAAGACATCACTGCCTAAAGCGGAGCGCATCAACGTGGCGGAGGCCTTGCGATACGCTGCGCTTTTCACCGATGCCTCGTGCGCCCACGCCGTGGAAAGGCTGCCTACGCACGCTTCCGTGGCGCCGTTGACGGTCGCCTACCGTCGCGAATTTAAACTTCGTCAGTCTGATATTGATTTTAACAGGCATGTGAACCAAATGGCCATGATTCAGTTCGTGATTAATGCTTTTCGATCAGCTCTCGAAGATCAAACCACCGTGTTCCCTCGTCTGCTGGATGCAGGCGTAGAACCTATTATTGGTGATTTGCTCCTTCGACGGCTCCGCATCGACTACATTCGAGAAATTCCGCTAGATCACATTGGTTCTACGGTTACCTTGTTCTTCCACGATGACATGGCAAGAGACACCCTTGTTTCGTCCACAAAAGGTAATCGGCAGAACAAAGTGGTGCCTTTGTGGTTTATTGCCCACGGCGTACCAAAGAATGGCGGTAGCCCATTCATTGCTGTTGTTGGGTATCTTTGCGTTTCTTGCTAGTCTCTGGACAATAACATCTCGGTGCATCTCCTTTGTCGCCACAATGTGCCAGGCAATGCACACAAGCTGCAGCATTGGTGTTGTTGTTGTAGTTGTTGGTGGGGGTGGTGGTGGTGGCTGCAAGAACGAGCCGAGGTGTATTCTCTCCTTTCCTCCTTCATTCTTTTTTCTGCTCAAAACAAACAAACAAACAAGTAAGAAAAAAAGCTCTCTCCACAACGACAATGTTCCGTGCTACGTCCGCCGCTCTCAAGACGCTGCAGCCGCTGGGCCAGCGCGTCCTGGTGAAGCGCACGCTTCCCGCCAAGCAGACGAAGGCTGGTGTGCTCATCCCCGAGCAGATCGCTGGCAAGATCAACGAGGGCACAGTGGTCGCCGTCGCTGCGGCGTCCAAGGACTGGGCCCCCACCGTGAAGGTGAACGACACGGTGCTGCTGCCCGAGTTTGGTGGGAGCAGTGTGAAGGTGGAGGGCGAGGAGTTCTTCCTCTACAATGAAGACTCCCTCCTTGGTGTCCTGCAGAATTGAAATGAACCCTGTTTCCGTTTACACAACTGCAGAGTCACATCTCAATTTCATCTATTATTATTCATTCTAAGCTTACAGAGGAGGGAAACGTGTGTTGGCGTCGAATAGGTGGATATACGCAATGCTGGAGGAACGCAAGTTTCTTAGGGAGCAATTGAAACCTGTCGAGCAACACATGCCTCTTATTTCGTTCAATATTTGAAAGTTGTTTTCGGCCTCTTTGTGCGTCTGTGTGTGTTTGTTGGTTTCTCGAGGCGTCAGGGTACAAGTTAATGCACGGGCGCCTCTTTTCCGTTGCCCTTTCACTCCGATTCTTTTTGTTTGTTTGTTTTGTGTTATAAAACAACACACAGGGACCATAATTAGACAATGGACCGTTTTGTGGACACGGGGGTCACATTTGATGTGGACAAGGAACCCCGCCTGATCAACTGCTACCTCGTCCGAGAGTCAGGGAGGAGGGGGGCTGCGAATGTCGCCACGAGCGCTGATGTTTTTGTTGACGTGGAAGATGCACCACTGCTCAATGGATATGACATCTGTGCCGCGGATTCAGAGGAGGCGGGTGGATTCCCGGAGTTGCGTGCATTCGCGACGCAGTGGGCTGACGGGAGGATAGAGACGGTTGGCGTGGTCGATGACAGGGCACCATTCCCGCAGGTGTTTTTTCTCCCTCCTGGAGTTTCTGGCTCCGGCAGGGAAGGCTGCTGCACCAGAAGCAGGGCCGCTGTGGATGTGGAAAAGCACCCGCCGCTATGGGAGGCACCGACGCACGAAGACGGCAGTACTGGTGCTGGGGGAGAACCCGGCGCTGCTAAAGGTGATGTGGTCGTACAAGAACGCGCTGAAGGTGCTGCTACAGCCGCGGAGATGTTCCACTCCCTTGACCATGGTGATGATGTCTCGCCGTTAACACATGCAGGGGAGTATTCGCAAGGGCACTCCCCATTGCAGCCGTCGATGGGTAGTATGGGTTCACATTCAAGATCTACGCCATTACCGCGGAGGGCCCAATGGGAGATGTTCTCGAAACATTCACCTTGCACACTCACCAGCAGCCTCGGAAGAGGCGGCAACTCGATTTTGTCACAACGCGGGACGCGGGCAGAGTCGCTCTCGTCGTTGAAAAATGAGATTGCAGCTTTCCGTGAGCGCCTGCGTGATGCGCAGCTCAGTCTGCACGACAGTGTGCAATCGCAGCACGTATCCAGTACCGCAACAAAGCACATTGTAAAGAGGCCTCCACCAACACATAGAGACCGGGGAACTTCTTTAGCCAGCATACGGCGGGACGTGGAGTATTCCCCTGTGAGGGAATTACGCGACTCAAATGGCCTGAGTACTGCGGGTTCCTATCTGCTAAATGCTGTGCGGGAGGCGATGCAGCAAGGGACCCTGCTCTCAGCCCCGCGGGAAAGGGGGAACAATCTGCGAGAGGCCTGGATGCGTGACGCTACGCTGCCTGCGCAGCTGCATCGCATTGCAGATATTGAGGGAACGGGCTTCGTACGCCTATCGCGCCTTCTTGTGCTCCTTCGCCTGCACGACTATCTAGACTGGACGGAGGACGAGGTGACGCGTATTTGTGCGTGGCTGTCAGAGCACCCAGATGACGAGGCTCGCACCAGCAGCAGTGAAGCGCAGGTGCGTGACGACAGGACACCAACTTGCATCGTCATCAATGAGGTAGATGATGTATTTTACCTCAACAGCGGTGCATTTTTCGCGTTGCTGCGAGCCCTCCTCCTCCTTTAAGCTGCAGTACGAGGTATTCGGGGAGCTGTAACGCCGC